GATACTTGGGGGCCTTCACTAGATCCTTACCGCGGTGTTAGCCACGAAAACGACCCCCATGGCAAACGAACTTGGATCAGCGGGCCAGAGAGGGATAGTGTTGGCAATTGTTGATCGCCGCAGTGCAATTATCGTGCGCATTTTTCTGGCTAAATTTGCTGCTACACTGCCTGCGTTGGTGCAGCAGCATGCATCATGCTCCAATGTGGTTTAGCCTACATCAAGTGACCTAGACAAGAGGAATCTGATAAATTGGAGGAAGGAGCACACAGCGGACTACTGATGTTGTACCTTTTTACCGAATTTCGAGTCCGCCTGACCATACGGTCTTCCTCATAAAAGCGAACGTATGATCCGCCTCTCCAGTACCGTCGCGTGCTCGCTCTCTCAGGCGCGTTTGCTACCACCTACTGATTTCCTCGCTTAAAGAACTGCCTCGAGCCCGCGAAACTATATGGGCTTTTCGTATAATGATGGAAGGAGTTTGGTGATGAGGATATGGGCGCTGGGATTTGGGCAACATCGTATTCCGGAGGTCCTTTAGGGTGGCTAGCTGCTACTGACATATTAGGAGAGCGGTCAGCCTGGCAGTCGACTACGAACGCCATCAACAGCAAGGCGTTTGTCTGTAATGTGAAGGATGCCTTCGGTTACGACAACATCCACCGATGCCGAATGGATATCATAATTTTACACGATAATACTCATATCCGTCGCACTAAGAATTCATCAGCCTGCTAAGGCTGGTAGCTGTAATCTGGCTTTTTAGACAACAGTCAGCCTCTACGCACGCGGCCTTCAATGGATGTGTATTCCTGTCAACAGCCCGGAGCTTAATTCTATTCAAAAATCATTTCGCACGCATTGAAGGAAAGAGACACAAGGAAAAGAAGAATATTTAAATTCAAGGAAAGTTTGCATTGGTACTAACTAGTAACACTGAACAAGCCACTGTATACAACCTGACTATATTCATGTCTGTGGGACTTTCTGCTGTGTCAAATGCAAATGGACGCTTAATGAAATGCTGATTTTTGTGTATGATATTATTTTTCGCTACTTTTCCCTTTTCGTGCGTTCCCCTTCCTCATTCAACCTTTAAGTTAGCCTTACTTAGGAGATTTATAATATAACCATTTTCCAAAATTCGACTTTTCAGTGGAAATTATCTCCACTAGGAACAAGGGTCGTTTCTTCGCTTCTGCAAGACTTTGGGGCAAGCGGTCTGGGCGGATTTTGCGCTATAGAGGTCTTCTTGTGAAACTCGTGACATTCCATGGGTTATCACCTCTACTGTATCTAGGAAAGCGCTAGTCATATTTTGGTCTCCTCGGTTTTGGTATTTTAGCTGCCTTGCCAAGCCTTTGCGTGTAGTCGTTAGACAGAATTAGGCTCAGGGGTATATTGCTGTACCACCATTGTGTCAGGTGACGCACTGTGGTGCGTTTATATTTCCCCTTAGAAACTTCACACACGAGCACCTTCGGGAATATGGACTGGTGGCCATGGCAGTTTGAGAACCGGGACGAGTTAGTTGCTATCAGGTATATGTTCGCAATCAGGATCTTGCTATCTTCCCATTGGACAGGAGCGTCTGGCAGGAGTAACTGTCTGTTATCTCCGTGTCCTTCCACGTTTGCAAGGCTGTCAAGCAGGACGAAATTTTAAATTTCATGCAAGTGTGAGACCAGTTAGGACGTCGGAACCTCAATATTGCAGAAGGTACGTGAGAGAGAAACTGATTGAGTTCATGTAAAGCCTTGGTGGGTCTCTTTGCCGGTGTGTGTGCTATCACTTTTCTTAGGGTGGCGACCTGTGTCACAAGGACTACTCCCACTACCATCGAAAGTCGCTGAATAGCACAGATTTCAGACATCCTCAGCAACCCCCCTTCGACCTTAGCTCCAAAAAATGCACCGAAGACATTTGAGAAAGGGATACACTCGTGAAACTCGACAGCTTTCATTTTTAATTTTGCCATACGTAAATCTGTGCTTGCAGATACACGAGTAGGAGGTTTTTAGATGGGTGAAAAGTTTGGGTGTCCCCTTCGAAATGCATCGACTTAGTGCAAGCATTTGTAATGTTGTGTTAGGTCAGGAAACCACTGCTACATCTATCTGTTTCAACTCGGGTTCCTCGGGCACAGCTTTAAGTTTGTCTAATCAGTATCTACGGGACTAATATTTTGGAATCTTTCTGGCTCAAGTCAATTTTCCTATAGTTAATAAGGAAGATATTTTGGTAAACACCCCCTCTTATTCATTCATCACCAGGTAAGCACGGTTTCATAAACAGCGCGAATATCAGAGTACAGTGAATGACCGATCTCATGAAATGTTGGCTGGAATTCTGAAATGTGTTTTCGACTATGAAGGTTTACTTGGGTGGGGTTAAAAAATGCATTATCATGAGACAGAGCCCTAATATATTTCGGACTCGCAGGATGTCAGCTTTTGAACGCTCTACATTTTTCTCTTCTGTACGAACCGTACTCGGTTAAAAATGACCACTTAGGTAGCATGCATTTTTACAATGATTTTTGATGGTCTTGAAAATACAAGATTGCACGTTACCTCGTACCGCTCTCTGACCAATTATTGTGATGACCGAAAGGAGGGGATTCAGTGCAGCTGCTCACAGCCAGAGTACGCCCCGTCGAACGCCAGCAGTCGGTGGGCAGCAAAAACTCGAAAATATATTGTGTGCAAGCTGAGGAAATTGTATCCAAAAAATGAAGTGAACGAACTGGGTCGGAGTGCTCGTTCAGATGCGTGAGTGCTACCATGTCGAGCACAGTGTGCTCCGACTGCGGACGTCATGGACAACGGCTCACCTTGTGGCGATATTCTGATTTCGTGGTTGCGACCAGCCGGTCGTCCCACAACAGTAGACTGGCAGTTCGCAACAAACGTATCGGCCAACCCAGTGGATATTTCCAATTCGCTCCGCTCTGGCACCAAACTGACATCTCTGGCGCAGCGAAGTCGTTTTCAGTACGGCGACTGCAAGTCTATAGCCATCCTTAGTCGGCGGACTCGATCAGATGAGAGAATTTGGTTTGCGTGTGTCTTCGCAACCGGTACTCCTTTTTCCTTCTCCCTCCTCCTCAAAACAAAAAATCTTCTGAAGAAACCGACAGAAATCCCCTTGGCGGATCAGGCTAATTTGGGTCCTTTCCATACTGTACCAGAGTTGTGACCGCAGCGGATTTCATAAGTAGCCAGGGATAGCTAAGCAGTCCTATGTAGGAGAAGACTGCTTACCTCCTCGCTAGAGAGGTTATAAATGCGTCCCAAAAGTGTTCCAACATGCTGTCAGGCAGGCGGCCGCAGCTTATGGAGATTAAAAAGGCAGTCGAAAGACGCAGGAAACAACAATAACAA